ACGCTGGCGGCTGGCGGCCATGATGGCGACGGAGAACTGCATAGCGAGTGTGTATGTGTGCGGGGATAGCAAGAGCTTCGTGCAACGAGAGACTGGAGGCGAAAGCGACAGAGGTGGCAATGATCGACAACGGGTGGAAGAAGTATACCAAAAAAGAATGTTCCTTGCCTGAAGGAGAAAGAATGGAAGAGCTCACTGAGTCTGCGGTAGCGAATGGAGAGAATGGCAATCCACGAGCTGATCGTCAGGGCGGTGATCGGTTCTTATGCATTGCGATCAACCAGCTCTCACAGCGGAGGATGTGCTCTGGGCCTCGTCGCAGCTCCTGATCTGTCACCGGGGTGCATCACCGAGGAATAGGACGTCGATGGACGGTCCAGCGGTCGTGGTGGCCGCATTGGGACCAGATGGCAGGTCATCTCTGACTGATTGTGTTCCAGAACGCTGGTTCGGAGGAGGGTCACGGGCTTTGGAGACGGGGTGTCGTCTGAAGGCCGGGCCATGCGACGGCTTGGGTGTGATTCAGAATTGGGTGGGAACAGGGGCTTGAGGTTTCAAGGGGGGTAATTCTCGTTGGAGGTTGCATGGTCTTTTGATACTCGGCTTGCTTGAGAATGGGAGAACGGGAGAATGTCGCTCGAAATGATCTCCCAGCGATGAGCACGATGATCGATCGGTCTGATGTTGTTGTGCGGCTCACTATTAGGAGAATGTGATGCTCTGCAATCAAGTCATGCATCCCCTGGTCTGATGGATTCGGGTGGTGGTGGCGGGAGCCGAGCCGGATACCCCGACACCATATTCATAATGCGACATTGTGACTGCTGCCGGCGTCAGAAATTTGTCTGCTCTGGCGTTCAGCTCTTCCCGTCGAGGAATCATCGTGAGGCCAGTCGCAAAGGTTTGCTGGGAGGCCCATCGACAGCAATCTATCCAGTAGCTACCAAGCTTCGTAGACATCAATCAGGCCTTCGCGAACCAATTTATGATCCCCCGGCACAGCCATGAAGTTGATTGCGGCGAAACTCGTAAGGCAGACAACCCAGTGGACGCACTTCTGAATGACTTGACGAGCAGAAGTTTGTTGTTTATCGGCTCAACCCGAACACCGCTTGTCTTGTCACTGGGAAAAGGCATCATGCGCTGCCCGAATCATGTACTGCTAACCCAAAGCTGAAACCGAGTCAGACATGCTGGCCTGGACAGGGTTATTACCCGTCTTGGCCCTGTCGTCAGCACCTTAAGCTGCAGCTGAATGAGCGAGCACCAGCCATTCGCCGGGCGAGAGACTTCACAGCATTTGCTCACTTTGTGTAACCGCTCAGACACTAGAGACCGTCACGCTGGCGTCGTTATGGCTACAATCCGAAGATTCCATTGCCTCTCCAGAATGAATAGAGCGCCCTACCAAAGACAAGAACCAAACGGCCCCTCGGCTTGATGACAAATGCCGCACAGTTTGTCCCACGGACGCGGGATCCCAAGCGGGAGGATAGATGTGCCGAGATTGACACGCGTGTCTCAATCCGGTAACCAGATTAGGCCTTCACGTCCGAGTTCGAGTGGCAATCACATCAAACCTTTCGACGGCGAGGCTGGCTGTGAAAAGTCACAACATCCCAGGGAACGTGTTCACGCTTGGTCAATATCGAATTGACATATTGTCAGAACCGACAAAACACCTCTCTGAGCCCACCAACGGGGAACGAAACAGAATTCCATCGCACCCCTGACCCAGGCATCGTAACACCATGGATCTCCAAATCAGCAAGCCTCTGACCCTCAAATGCGGTCTCACGCTGCCCAATCGCCTCGTCAAGGCCGCCATGACTGAGCAGCTAGCCGATAGATCCCACCTCCCCACGCCAACCTTCCTTCGCGTCTACGAGGCCTGGGCCGCCGGCGGCTGGGGCCTCGTCCTCACCGGCAACGTCCAGGTCGACGAGGTCCACCTCGGCGGGCCTCGCGACACGGCCGTCAGCTCGGCCGTCGAGACCTCGACCGTTCTCGCCAGTTTCAAGGAGTGGGCCGCCGTCTGCAACACCCACGGCACCCCGACCGTCGTCCAGATCAACCATCCGGGCCGCCAGTCACCCCCGGGTGCCGGCGACAGGGGCTTCTTTGCCAAGACCCTGGCCCCTAGCGCCGTCCCGCTGCGCCTCGGCGACGATCTCATCTCGCGCGCCCTGAGCGCCGTCGCCTTTGGCACGCCCAAGGCCATGTCTGTCGCCGATATCAAGGAGGTCGTCAGGCGGTTCGCCGAGACGGCGCGCATTTCGGCCGAGGCAGGGTTCCAGGGCGTACAGGTGCACGGCGCCCACGGCTATCTGGTCGCACAGTTCCTCTCGGCCAAGACCAACACGCGAACAGACGAATACGGCGGCTCGCCCGCCAAGAGGGCGCGGTTCGCTGTCGAGATCATCGACGCCATCAGGGCCGTGGTGCCCAAGGAATTCTGCGTCGGCATCAAGCTCAACTCGGTCGATCACCAGAGCGAGGCAGAGCTTGGCGACTGCGTTGAGCAGCTCAAGCTCATCACGCAGGCTGGCGTCGATTTCATCGAGGTCAGCGGCGGCACGTATGAGGACCCAACGGTAAGCATCGACCACCGCGTCCGTCAAATCGCTGTTCAGACATGCTGACATTTTGTAGATGAATCTTGGCCCCAGTGCTGTCGAAGGCAAGTCGGAGCGCACCAAAGCCCGCGAGGCCTTCTTCCTCGACTTTGCGGCTGCCATTCGCGATCAGTTCCCCGACGTGCCGCTCGTTGTCACTGGCGGCTTCCGCACGCGGCAGGGCATGGAGAGCGCTGTCCGCGAGGGCGGTTGCGATGCCGTCGGCATTGGCCGACCGGCGGTGCTAAACCCGTCGCTGCCGGTGAACACAGTGTTCAACAAGGAGGTCGATGATGCGTCGGCGAAGGTGTACGCGAAGAAGGTTGAAACGCCGTGGTTTCTCCAGAAGATTGGCATGAAGAACGTCGGCGCGGGCATCGAGACGGTGAGTTTCCAAATCGCCCGAAATATGGCCTTGAGGGTGAGACTGACATCTTTGATAGGCTTGGTATGCAAAGGCCATGCGCGATATGGACGCTACGAAGGCGTCGATTTAAATTTGGGCTTGTGAGTAAGGGGCGTCAAAAGGTTGTAGGATTCCTTCTCTACAGAGTATCTTGGATCTAGATCTGGTGCACTTTATCTACTTTGGTTGCGAGATGCATGTCTATGGAGACATCAGGAGGATTGCTGTTGAAGTGCTTTTTCAACATTTTGTTCGTCCAGATGATCTTCTGCTCCACTCTGATGAAATATTGCCAACCTCTCCATGTCCTTGAGTTCTTTCCTAGCGATGGGCAGCCTGGGCATTGGCCTTGAGTAACTTGGCCTCTTCGTTGTACTTATCTCTTTGCTCCTGAGACATGGCTCGCCAAATTTGCAATGCCTCATGAAACTCTTGAGAGCCTGTTCCCACACTCCTCTCGTCGCAGAATAATCCAAGACCTGTGATTATCTTGGGCATTCCGTATACCTGTTTCTCGTATCTTCGGCAGAAGTCCCGTTCCCGTGCGACGTCCTGATACCGCTGTTTCCCGCCCTCTGTCTGAGGCACATGCACTTCAAGTGGCACGCGATTTGGTGCAACGCGATTGGGGTTGAAGCGATCTGGGTCCTCGGCTATCGCTGTGTCAAACCAGGCCCAGGCCTCGCGGCGGATCGCTTCAGATCGCGTGCGATAGGTCTCCTTTTCGGCCTCGGGTAAAGCAGACCACTGCAGCCCACTATCGTGGCCTCTGATATTGCTGTCGTTCATGAATATCTGCATGGCAGAGCGTAACTCCACAGCCGATGCAGGTGGCCAAGGCCCTCCTTGAAAATCAGCTTGTGAGATTGGAGTCGCTATTGCTACAGGTTGGCTCGACGCCCTCGGCGGAAACTGGCGGCTGGCGGCTGCCTGAGTGACTGAGATAAGGTCCGGTATGAGCCTTCTTGCTATCAGATTGACGGCATGCCCGTATCCTGGAGAATGAAAAGCTGCCATGTACCTTGCCGGGTATGAACCATCGATCTTTTCGTGAAATCCATTCGTAAGGAGCTGAACCTCTTCGGCATTCGTCATCGTCTGAAAACGCCCGCCATCTATTGCCTCTCTGGCCTTGGCGTAGACCTCAACAGGCGTGCTGAGTGTTCCAGCCGTGGCGCGTTCGATATTGTTACGCGCCACGTCTGGCGGTGGCCAGCAAAACAGGTCATGGATATCCTCAGCCGTAAGAGAGTCTGGCTGGGCGAGCGCTCTTCCGATCACGTCGTTACGGCCAAGCAAAATATTGCGCTCTTCCTGCGTTAACTGGTCTTGTTGGTCTCGAGCCTTGTCGTACAAGGATTGCGGGACGGCATCGTTGACAGTCTCCGCGTGAGAGGGGCATTGCTCTTTACGTTGCTGTAGGTATCGGAAT